ATGGGTTTGCTACTGCTATTGCAGCTTCCTGAAGTACCTTTTTTCCTCTCCCTTTTCCTTGTCTGCTTAAACTTTCTGGATTATTTTCCTATGGCCTTCTAATGTCAGGTTTTTCACTAGGTGTCTTCTCTTTTTTCTTTTCTTTCTTTCTTTCTTTTTTTTGAGTTGCTCCCAGTCACCGCAGCCTTGACCTGCTGGGCTCCAGCGATCCTTCCGCCTCAGCCTTCCAAGAAGTGGGAACTACAGGCACGCACTACCACACCGCCCAGCTAATTTTTTTGATTTATTGTAGAGACAAAATCTCACCAAGTTGCCCGGGTGGGCAACCCACAGGCTCAGGCAATCCACTTCCCTCGGCCTCCCAAAGTGCTGGGATTACAGGCTGAGCCACCGAGTCCAGCCACTAGGTGTCTTTTCTTGACACACCTGTAGGGTCTTCTCTTTCTATCTTTCAGACACTGAAATCGTCTGTTAATACATATCCACCCAACTAGACCCTTCAGTTGTGGGCATATTCTACATATGTGCATATGTCTCACCTCTAGAAAAAATATTTTCCCATAGTACAATAGAACACAATTAGCCAAATAGGACAAAATTAACAAATCTTTTGGGGGATACTATGGTTAATAGGTAGTTTCAGTGGAAATTTCCTTCTTAAAATCGGCATTTGGTGAGTTAAATAGGGGTATTGAAAAACAGTGTTGTGAGAAATGCTTTCTTGTTCAGAAAAGAATACACAATAAGGAGAATAAAGCTCATTGTATCCCTGTACTCTCTGAATTTTAAATGTACCTTAACTTCACTTATAATTTTTCAGTGTCTTTCTATGAGGTAATATACTACATAGAAATCAGAATACACCAGTATAGTGTTCTCAAATAAACAGCAGAGACATCACAATCAGATTAACAGCATGGTTTATGCCCTGTTCTGATAATATTCAGCATCTTCAAGTTCTGAAATTAGTTACAGTTATACTTCATAGACATAGCAAGTTTGGTTCTGGACCACCACAATACAGAGCATATTGCAATAAAGCAAGTCAAACAAACATTTTGGCTTTCTAGTACATATAAAGCTATGTTTATACTTTACTACAGTGTTAAGTATGCAATAGGATTATGTCTAAAAAAAGGTACATGTTTTAATTAAAAATTCTTTATTGCTAAAAAAAAAACGAGATTATCTGAGGTTTTAGTAAATTGTAATCTTTTTTGTTGGTGAAGACTTTTGCCTTGAACTTGGTGCTGCTGACTGATAGGATGGTCTTGCTGAAGGTTGTGGTGACTCTGGCAATTTTTAAATGGGACAACCATAAAGTTTGGTGTGTCAATTGACTCTTTCTTTTTTAAAAGATTGCTCTAGAGCTTGTGATGTTATTTAGTAACATTTTACCCATGGTAGAACTTTTTTCAAAATTAGACTCAATCCCCTTAAATCCTGCCTCAGCTTTATCACCTATGTTTATGTAATATGCTAAATCCTTTGTTTTCATTTCTGCAATGTTGATAGCATCTTCACCATAAACGGATTTCAAGAAACTACTTTCTTTGCTCATTCGTAAAAAGCAGCTCTGTATCCATTCAAGTTTTATCATGAGATTGCAGCAATTCATTCACATCTTCAGACTTTATTTCTATTTCTAGTGCTCTTGTTATTTCCATCACACCTGCAGTGACTTCCTGCACTGAAATCTTGAGCCCCTCAAAGTCATCCATGAGGGAGGAAAAAACTTCTTTCAAATTCCTGTTAATGTTGATATTTTGACCTTCTCTCATGAATCACGAATGTTCTTAATGGCATTTAAAATGGTGAATCCATTACAGAAGCTTTTCTATTTACTTTACTAAGATCTATCAGATAAATCACTCTCTATGGCAGCATAGCCTTGTGAAAAATATTTGTTAAATTATATGTCTTGAAAGTCAAAATGACTTTTTTATCCATCAGTTGCTGTGTTAGCAGTCATGAAAACAATATTCATCTCTTTATAAATCTCCATCAGAGCTCTTGGGTGGCTAGGTGCATTGCCAAAGAGCAGCCATATATTGAAAGCAGTAGATCTCAAAGGTGAGCTTAATACATTAGCAAACTGTAAGGTAAATCGATGTGCTGCATACCAGGCTTTATTCTATTTATAGAGCATAAGCAGAGTAGATTTTTTTATAATTCACGAGGGCCTCCAGGATTTCCAGAATTATAAAAGTGCACTGGCTTCCACTTCAAATCACCAGCTATATTAGCCCCTAACAAGAGAGTGACCCGTATCCTTTAAAGCTTTGAAGCCAGGCATTGACTTTTCCTCTCCAACTATGAAACTTCTTGAGAGTATCCTCTTCTTATAGAAGACTCTTTTGTCTACCTCGAAAATCTGTTGTTTGGTGTAGCCACCTTCATCAGTGATCTTAGCTTGATCTTCTAGATAACTTGTTGTGGCTTCTATATCAGCACTTGCTACTTCACCTTGAACTTTTGTGTTATGGTGATGGCTTCTTTCCTTATAGCTCATGAATCAGCCTTTGCTAGTTTCCAGCTTTTCTTCTGCAGCCTCCTTAACTCGCTCAGCCTTCACAGGGTCGTACTTTGGATTGGGCTTTAGCTTAACGAGATGTTGTGGCTGGTTTGATCTTCTATCCAGACCATTAAATCTTTCTTCAAATCCAGACAATAAGGGCTTTGTACTTTTCTTTTTTTATCATCCATTTGTTCACTGAATTTGCCAGTTTAGTCTCCTTCAAGAACTTTTCCTTAGCTTTCAAAATGTATATAACTGGTACAAGAAACTTATCTTGGCTTTCTGCATGTCTTCCTTACTAAGCTTAGTCATTTCTAGCTTTTGATTTAAAGTGAAAGACATGCAGCCCTTCCTTTTACTTGAACACTTAGAAGGCATTGTAAAATAATAATAATAATAATTATTATTGTTGTTTTTGAGTTGGAGTCTCACTCCATCCCCCAGGCTAGAGTGCAGTGACATGCATTCTCACGGCCACTCCAGTGTTGACCTGCTGAGCTCAGGCAATCCTTCTGCTTCAACCTTCTGAGTAGCTGGAACTACAGATGTGTGCTATAATGCCCGGCTTTTTTTTTTTTTTTAATTTTATTGTAGACACAAGTTTTCACCAAGTTGCCCAGGCTGGTCTTGAACCCACAGACTCAGGCAATCCATTCACCTCGGCCTCCCAAAATGCTGGGATTACAGGCTGAGCCAATGAGCCCTGCCTGTCAAATTATTAACTGGCCTAAGTTCAATATTGTTGTGTCTCAGGGATTAGGGAAGCCCAAGGAGTGGGAGAGAGATGGGAAAACATCCAGTTGGTAGATCAATCAGAACACACATTTGTGGATTAAGTTCAAGGTTTTATATGGGTGTGGTCTGTGACACCCCCAAACAATTACAATAACATCAAAGATTGCTGTTCACAGATTACTCTAACAGATATAATAGTAATGAAAAAGTTTAAAATACTGCAATAATTACCAAAATGCGACACAGAAACATGGAGTGAGTATATGCATTAAAAAAAAAAAAAAAAACATGGTGCCAATAGATTTACTTGACACAGGGATGCCACAAACCATCAATTTGTAAAAAACACAGTATCTGCAAAGTACAATAAAGCAAAAGTCATAAAATAAGGTATGCCTGTACTAACAAATATCGACATGCTAAGAATCATATATCTCATTTGTAAAGGCAAACTAGCTTTGATCTAGCATTAAAATGACATGCAAACTGTGACAGCTTCAAATAATCAACTTGTTTAAATAATAGCTTGCTATTTTGAGATACAAATTCCTTAACTGACTTTTCACAATGAATAAGATCTGTTTATTTGGCTTAGGAATTTCAATGGGTAACTGAAAGCCATCTGCTTTCAGTCATTGTTTGAAATGTCCCCTCTTTGGTTTCCAGGCCAGAATAATGGTGATAAATGTATTATATACTGTGTATTAAAACTGGTAAGACTATATGACAACATTATATGGGGAACGTTGATGACCTGGTTCAAATATTAGTCTGAAACTTACTAGCGAAATGAATTTCAGCAAAATCCTTTATGTCTTCCTGCGTTTCCTTATATGCAAAATAAAGGTATTAAAAATATGCAGTTTTAGAGATTTTTGTTGGGATTTAATAATATGTTTAACCATTGAGATAATGTCTATCGCATGGTCACATTTAAAAATGCTAAGTGTTATTATCATTGAAAATACATGTTTGAAAAGCAATTTCACATAATATTACTTTATATATCAACAGTTACTTAAAGATTTAAATGAATGCAATTTTTGTTTTGGTGTCTTTTTTTTTGTTGAAGTTTTTAGCCCAATTGTTTCACATAAGGCAATGCCTATTATTATCAAACATGTCAGATAATAAAAAAGATAAAGAGGCAACATTAGCCAAGGTCAGTGCTTTTAAAAGTTTTTTGACCTGATATATAGTATAACAAAACAACATTGATCCTTTTATATGTGTTCGAGGGAAAATATTTTTGTACAATTACCAAATTGTCAGTTAAAAAATGTTCACTTAGTTTCCATAACGCTATTTTCAAAATTCATAGACACACAAAGATTTTACCTTGTTCTGGCCTGGGTTTTTTTGTTGTTCACAGATGCCTCCCCCACTTCTAACTGTTCCCACAGTCACAGTCACCATAAGGAAATTTTTACTGCTTGAGAAAGTTTTAATATTCACCAGGTTACGGAAACTCGTGGTCAGCTTTAGAATTTTAGTCTCTGCTGAGCTTTCAAGGTGTCAAGACCTTAAAATAATATGAACAGCAGGAGTACTAAATCTTTCATTATTTCCAGTTTCCCCTTGAGCATACTGACTTTGCAATAAAGAAGCTGTCATTTACACTCTTCTTTATTGCAAGGTGGGTAATAGCTACAGGGAGGGAAATACGGAACTGTGTCAAGTTAGCCTAAGTGCCATTATGATTAATGTATAATCATTGCACATTTGCATCTACTTTTTTCGTATACAGGTACTTCATAGATTGGAAGAGTGATGGAGACAGCTACTTTACAATAGATGGAACAGAAGGAACCATCGCCACTAATGAATTACTAGACAGAGAAAGCACTGCACAGTATAATTTCTCCATAATTGCGAGTAAAGTTAGTAAGTATGGCATGGACAGAATCAATGTTATACTGCAGTTCTTTGGATTTAAGACTCTTAAACGAGTCCCTGCTGAGGTGTTTTTCATTTTTGGACTGACAGCTGAGTAGTCTCCCGGGGAAACTCAGAAACCTGTTCCTTTTCCTCATAGCATAAGTCCAGAGAAATTGTGACAGCTGCCAATGAGATCTGTTTGCAGAATTGCATGCATATCTAGTAGTGCATTTCATTGTGTGACTTCATCGTTTTCTATGCTTTAACCTCAAAAAGCCATCAGAGTTTCAACTTCTCTTTCACACAGAATCCTTGTATATATCATTGAGAGTTTCATCAGGCCAGGCAAGATAAAATAATTATCATATGAAATCATCCATTCTGAAATATTTCCTGAAATTGAAAAGAGTCTTTTGAAAATTCATCTCGACCCTTTCTTTTTTTTAATTATAATTTGTTTTTAAATGCATGTCACTGTGGAATATGTGGAAGTTTTCAATGTAATTACTTAATAAGTTGCTCAAAAGGTGTAATATTGTTAGAAATTATTCCTTTTCTTGGTCTCTGCTTAGTTCAGAAGAAAATCTTTTAGACTGAGAGTGATTAGAGGTTTTACTTGTTTGAATGACCGATCAAGGATATTATCACAACTTCCTCAAGTAATAGATTAGGATGGGAGTAGTAATGCTTGGCGGAATTGACAGTCATGTTTTAGTAAAAGTACAACATCCCAGTTTTTCTGCTTATGGCCTCCTGAAAGATTCGGAAAAGTCCCATAAAACTCTCTTCTATTTTGTTATCTTCTTATTTCACTTTGTGCATCTGCTGCTAATTTCTTCTTTCAATGCAGGGAAGAGCTGTGAACATTTCTGTTGAGGGATTTTGACCAGTCTCAACTCTGTGGGGGTATAAATATGAAACTGTTTTATCTTCAAAAACTGTTTCCTAGCATGAAATGTTCAACATCTTTTCTCACACCTTAATGATGCCTTTAGCTGATCTCATTTACGCAACCATAAAGAAGAACAAAATCATGGAGTTTACAGCAAATTGGATTAAGTTGGAGAATATAATATTAAGTGAACTGTCACAGAAAAAAAGAACTGAATTTCACATGTTCTCACTCATAAGTGGGCCCTAAACATTAGTCACATTAGCACATGGGAGGGATCTTCGGTCACTGGACATTGCTGAGGAGCAGGTAGAGATGAGGATAGGGGGCACGTGACAATACAAAGTATACCTAGTCCACTACCAGGGGGAGTGAGGGCCAATTAAAAGTTCAAACTTCACCTGCATGCTGCCTACTTATGTATTTACTCCTCACTTATACCCTACATCTCTATAATAAAATACATTGAATTTTTAAAAAGAGGTAAGTCTAACATAAAAGAATACTCAGATTCTACTTTGTTCATTGGAATACTTACTCTTAGAGTTCTGACCTGTCATAGAGTTCTGTCTGACTCCCTGAGGCTGCCATACTAGAGTAATCACATGGTGGTGCTCAGGTTGACAACCCCATCTCAACTCTGCCTCAACCATACCTGCCAGTATGCTGGATATGTGAGAGACACTGTCTTGAAATCTCTAGTTCAGTCCACTTAGCTGAATAGCATGTAAATGTCATCAATTCTAAGTGAAATGGAATATTAAGCCAGCCAAATTCTGCCCCGGTTCTTACCTACAAAATTGTGAGAAATCTGAAATGTGATTATTTCAAACAATAACATTTTGGCATTTTGGGTTGTTCCACAGCAATAGATACCTGGAGAATTCAAAGACAGTATAAGTTGAAACTTTGATTCCTTAGGTGTAGGTATAGATTCTCCAGTCTTTTGGAGAAGAAAGGAAGGAAGGAAATAAAAATGTATACAAAAATATCTCTTCATGTGGTGCCTAAATAATGCTTCATTGTTTGTCACTGTGTTTAGGGATAAAATGACCTGACAGAAAAGGTTGTTGTCCAAATGTTGACTCTCTTTTTGTGTGATTTGGTGAGATATTTGCTGTTAGGGAGTGTGGTCATCCCATGTGCATAGGAATCTGACATGGGCACCCAGTGGTAGACCCAATAGCTTCTTAATTCCAGGTTCTCTTTGCTCAGCACACAGCCTTTTTGGGTGAAGTCAGCATGATTTCTCAATTTCAGCTACTTTCTTTGGTGTCCACTTGACCCTGAGGAATATTCACACATCCTTGCCAAGTTAAACAGGTACACTAACAGGCTGTTCCTTTACTAACAATCTCCTAGTCCTTCCCCTGTTCATCTCCTCTCAAATTTGCCCTCCTTGCCCAATATGGTTTGAAGAGAAGATCATAAAGTTTATTGCCTTAGCAGACAAATAGGGAGAAGAGAATGCCAGTCTCCCTTTCTTGTAGGACTTCCTACTCTCATTCTCTTCCCTCCACATGTGGCATTTACCTCTCTTCTCATACCATATCCACGTATGCTATATATTATTCCTCATTCCTTTCATGCTAATCTTCATTTATTTAATTCATACAGAATTTGTGGACAGCTAAAATATATTATAATAAAAATGAACTTTAGTTTCCTAAGATCTTTGATAAATATTGTGAAAATGAGTAGACTGTGCCATGGCATAGAAGACCTTTGTGAATCATGCTACATTCACGCCAATGGCCTAGACATAATGAGTGAAAACTGGCCAGTGAGTCTCTTCAATAAGTTCTATTATCCTAGACATTGTCTATAATAAAATACTATTTAGGAGAAAGCAATAGAATCTAACCTGATGCATGTTATAAATATTCACAGAAAACCTGTTCATATTTCTTTGATGTTGGTGTAGACTCCATACCTTCTTAATTCCACATTCTCTATGCTCAGCACACAACCTTCTTAGGTGAATTTAGAGCATGATTTCTCAATTTCTGCTCCTTACTGCTGTGGCCACTTGACCCTGAGGAAATTCACTCCAGATAAATGTCTGTGGATAGATTATTGGTTGCTTTGCTGTAGTTATAGAAGACCTCTTTCTTCTGAAATGGCTCCCGGGTTATGAAAACCATCATCATGGTATGAGGCCAGGGCCTTCTTTCAGCTTTGGGAATCAACCATTTAGAAAAGGGAAAGAAGTATACAACCTTTTAGTGAAAGCAAGTGTTCTTGATCCATAAAAGCTTAAATATCTTAATCTTACAGATTGCTAACTTGTTAGTTATCAGTATGATTACAGGCCGACTCTGCTACACACTCCAACCTGTTGGCTTCTGTTTATACTTAAAAGCAAATTAGATTGCCTGAGCCCACGGGTTCGAGACCCGCCTAGGCAACTTGGCGAGACCTCATCTCTACAATAAATAAAAAACTAGCCAGGCATGGTAGTGCGCGCCTGTAGTTCCAGTTACTTGGAAGGCTGAGGTGGAAGGATTGCTGGAGCCCAGCAGGTGGAGCCTGTGGTGGCCGGGAGCGACCACTGCACTCCAGTCTGGGCGAGAGTGAGACTCCAACTTAAAAAAAAAAAAAAAGTAAATTAGGAAATTCTAGAGGTATGGATTCTAGTGGTTATGTTGGCCTTCACCAAGAAATAGACCAAACTAGAACTTGGACACTTCATCAATATATATACACACACAATCTAAAAGGGATGACGATCTAATATTTATAAAATGGACATCTTGTTCATTCCAGTGTCAATTCAAAGACAATTGTGTAAATTTTAAGTCATCAAGAAATCCTGGTGTGACAAAGACTGTATGTCTATATAAAAAATAAAGAGGCTAAACACACATTGTATGGTAATTAAAGATTCTGTAATAAGAGTAACCTGTTGAAGGGTCTTATTTTGGTTGAATGCACAGTTTAAAAGTAAACTTTATTCATATTCTAATGCCTAAGACTGTCTTCATGGAACAAAGTAGTCAACTGACCAAGGAATATTATCATAGTGAATAAATGAGGAATAAATAGCCACACTTGTTCAGCCAAGAAGAACAAAATTGTGTAAGTATGCATTATTGCAGATTGAACCAGCATATGTTTTGGTGCTGACCCCTTATAAAAACTCTCAGGTGAAATAAAATAACACAGTGATTGAACAACTTCCTATTAATTAAAAAGTAGCCATTAATCAATCTTGCTATACATGGAGGTCCAAATAATTTTATTAGAGTACCAATCATTATTTTATCCATTACTGCTTTGTTGTTTTATGATTTTTTTTTTTTTGAGTTGGAGTCTCACTCTGTCGCCCAGACTGGAGTGCAGTGGCCGCTCCTGGCCACCGCAACCTCGACCTGCTGGGCTCCGGCGATCCTTCCACCTCAGCCTTCCAAGTAGCTGGAACTACAGGCGCGCGCTACCACGCCTGGCTAGTTTTTTGATTTATTGTAGAGATGAGGTCTCACCAAGTTGCCCAGGCGGGTCTCGAACCCGCAGGTTCAGGCAATCCACTCACCTCAGCCTCCCAAGCTGTGGGATTACAGGCTGAGCCACCAAACCCGTCCTGTTTTATGATATTAACCTTGAGAATTTTTAGAGACTGATGCTCCAAACTTTACTACATTCAAATTATCAGAAAGTTTGAAACGGCAAATGTTCCTAAGTTTTTGGTGCTACTATAAACAATGTCACTAGTTAAAGATAACTAGCTGGGCACAGTGGCATGTACCTATATAGTAGTTCCAGTTAGTTGGGAGGCTGAGGTGGGAGGATTGCTTGGGGCCAGGAGTTTGAAGCCATCCTGGGCAACATAGTGAGATCCTATCCCTATAAATTTTAAAGAATGGCAAAGCTAAATAAATAATTAAGTAAAAATTGTTAAAGACCAAACTAAAAATAACTTTACCAAATTCCTAGAATATACTTTATATAGTTATAAAATAAAAGATAATGTCAGAGACAGTTCTCTTCTTGTTATATTTACTATTCAAATTGCAATAAATTAGTTCAATTTATTATGGAATAAGTCAAAAATCAGTGATTTGCCTTACTAAATGCTATATATATTTTTAAATACATATACAAGTCTATCACCGAC